AAAAAAAAAAAAAAAAAAAAAAAAAACGTTGGGTGTGACCCCAGGTCCTTTCGTTTTTGTTAGAAACTTTAGTGTCGGGAGAGCGGGTCCCAGTGCTGAAGGATCCGCCTATTGGTGGGAAGCTGCACCTGCTGGAAAACGGGTCCAGCGTCCCTGTATGATGATACAATGCTTGTGTACCTGACAAAATGCAAGCCTGTAGATGGGCCTGGCGCTCCATTATGCGAAACCAGGGCCCGGGCCCTTCTATCTACGAGCCCCTAAACAGGTCCAATGCCCCATTCCAATCGGTCTATCATTCTAGTACAGTGAACTGAGTTCTGTGTTCATGTCGAAGTGGCTTGTCGCACCGGTTGTCTTCTGTAGTCGATGTTGTGCCCTTAGGTAGCCCTGTGAGTGCTACTGTTTACCACGGTGGCTTGTCCCCTTTGGGTGCCCACTGCCGTTGCCCGATCTTATACAGACGGGTCCCCACGAATTGTGGTATTATCCGCATTGATTCCTCTTGCCGCTTGCTGTCCCAACCCAGTTGGGCATGGTTCCGCTTGCTCGAAACCAGTCATAATGTCTGCCGACTCTGCTTTCAACGAGGCCTTAAAACACCAGTACTTGGCCGATACATCAGCCGCGGGGTGTTGTCGTTAATGCCCCGCAACTTCCGGAGGCTCGGGGTACCAGCCCTGAAAGGCTGGCGCCGCCAGCCAAAACAATTTTTTCTTGTTGTGCTGGCAGGTTGGCGTAATGTCTGCCGACTCTGCTTTCAACGAGGCCTTAAAGCACCAGTACTTGGCCGATACATCGGCCGCGGGGCGTTGTCGTTAATGCCCTGCAACTTCCGGAGGCTCGGGGTACCAGTCCTGAAAGGCTGGCGCCGCCAGCCAAAACAATTTTTTCTTGTTGTGCTGGCAGGTCGGCGTCGTTTCAGCGCGAAACGGCGCGCAGCCCGTTTTCAGGCTCAGCATCGATAGCTGGGCCAAGTACTGGTGGTTTAATCTGATTCCTCATCACAGGATATGTGTCTGTGTTTGATGGAGTGGAAAGAAAGGTACAAGGGGCGTCTTTGCTTTGGATGGATGTCTGAGTGATTGAAGGTATCAGTCTTGAAAACTGACATGTTACAAAATATCGGAGGTTCGAAGCACGCTCTCCATCCTATCATGTATCTTAGTTTACAGATAATGAATTCAGTATTGAAAGCTCAAAAATTTAATTCGTTTTTTGTGGATTTGTAGTTGTTTTGTTTTCACTTTATTGACTTGTTATTGTTGCAGTGGATTGTTTGGCCCAGTATTTAGAACGATGACATTGCTTGTGGTGATGTGGTGAACCCCCCCGAATTTCGGGCCTTCAATTAACCATCTCTCGCGGGGGCGTCATAGTGGAAGGGTTGGTGTCAGGGCTCGGTAGGTAGGGGGGGGGGGGGTTAAAAAAGGGGAGAGGACCAGGAGGTAGAGTGTCGCTTGGGTTTAGGAGGGCACGAGGGTGGGAGATGGGTAGGCTGCGGTGGGGCTTGGTGGAGAAGGGTAACGAGTAAATTTTGCTGTGGGTTAACTTCTGCATCAATGGACTGTCCACAGACATTGGGCCTCCGCGCACCACTCACCAAACCCTGTGTTTTGGGGACTCCGAGGTCGGCGTTGCCACACCGCCTCACCAAACTGATTGTGTCAGAGATTACACGATGGGTCAATTCTGCATCGATGGACCCTCCACAGACAGCCCTACTCAACAAACTTGAAAATTGTTTGGTGAGTGCTCACGAATGCGGCGAGGGCGAGGGCTGAAAAACTCACCAAACACCGAGGGGCCTAGCTCAGTTGGTACACCCACGAACTGTTGAAATACACACCCAAGTTCGAGTCCGGATACAATCCGATGAGTCATATCATAAAATCATTCTGAATTACCTGGGGCTGGTCAGTTCAACGATGATGTCTCAAGGCCGTCGCTTAAAACAAAAAAAAAGAAAAAGAAAAAAGAAGTCACCATACCCAGGCCTCTTCACCAAACTGATTGTGTCAGAAATGTTGCTATGGGATATTTTCTGCATAGACCCTCCCGAGACATAGGGCCTAACACCCATGGGTCGAACTGGACATGGGGAGAGCGAGAGAGGCTGGGCGCAGAACTGTGGAGTGAGGGGGGTCAAGCGGGGAGAAGAAATGCCAACTCAAAAAGACACTTTGCATGGAACACGGGCGCATTCCAGTCCAGATATAGCCTTGTGCCCGCGGTTCCTGTGGATGTGCAAAATTCTTGGGAGGGGGGGCTGCGGAGGCGGAGAGATGTATCGGGGCAACATCGCCATTGCACGGGCACATGTGACGCGACATCACCAACAGTGCAGGCACAGATGAGGCATGCCATCTCTCTCTCTCTCTCTCTCTCTCTCTCTCTCTGTGTGTGTGTGTGTGTGTGTGTGTGTGTGTGTGTGTGTGTGTNTCTCTCTCTCTCTCTCTCTCTCTCTCTCTGTGTGTGTGTGTGTGTGTGTGTGTGTGTGTGTGTGTGTGTGTGTGTGTGTGTGTGTGTGCGTGTGTGTGTGTGAAGAGATCAAGCGCGCCATAGTCTCCTGCCGGCGCGTACACTAGGCGCGCCATCATCTCCACTTCACGCCTGATGAGCAGGGCCACATGTGGGCCTTCAAGAAGTCTTCTCCAACGCCGCCTCCTCGCGATCTTACCTTCATCTCCCATCATCTTCATCTGCCCTCTCCTCCTCCTCCTCCTCCGCTGGCATCTTCTGCTGCTCTTCTCCACATCCTCATCGCAACCCTCCTCCTCCGTCTCCTCCCCCTCCTCTGCCTTCCTCTATCCACTCACCAATCTGTGAACTGGCGGCTGCTTAATCACTTCGATAATGAAAAGATATGCCACCATCTTTTGTTTGTTTTCTTTCTCTCACGTGTGAGCACATTGATAGGGTGGGGCAAGACATCACGTGGGAAGGACACTGGACCCGTTTTCCAGCAGGTGATGCTCCCCGGGTGCTAGCGGTGTCTGCTTCTATCAGCACTACTTGGTAGCACGGGAGGGGGTGTTTTTTTTTCTTTTTTTAACGTCTGCCATGGCGGCGTGCACGTGAAGACGGACAAAGATGGTGGGCGGAGAAGATGAGACTCTTGGGATGGCCAGTGGGAGGACAAACAAAGGCTGCAATGCCCATGCCACATGCGCTAGTTGGCGCTACACGGGCATTGTGGAAGAGGACATGCCTCGGGCTACTGTGCGCTGCTGGCTTTCCGCTACAGGCATGCTGGTCTGCACCAGACCGCACCCGTTTCCCCCCAAACAGAACTATCTGGACTTAGGGCCTTGCCACACCACTGTCGAAACGAAAAACGTTCGAATGCATGTTCCCAGAAAGTGACAAGATGCATCCGTTCCTATGAATAGCAACAGATGCATCAGATGCATCTGGCCACTTTTTGGGGAAGATGCACTAGTGCGTTTTTCGTTTGGTGTGGCGACGCCTTGAGTCACTGGACTGAAAGTTGTGCAGAATACAGCTTCACTGGCC